CGATCTTTATCTTCTTCTTGTTGCTTCACCGATACATGTTGAAGAGGTGTACGATTTATACAGTAAAACATTCGGAGGTAATTGGGGTATATATTCATCAACCCCAGAGACCAATCAGAGCCGCCGGGCCACACCCGAAAGCCGGAACGCCCCGACGTGAACCGGAGCTCCGCCGTGGCCAGCCGGACCTGCGACGACACGCCCAGCGACCCGACACGACCCACAGAATCCCTTCGCGCGACACGACCCGACCCTGACATTCGTTCGTGTGATTCAGCTTCTATTCGTGTGTTGTTCCCGGTCAACCTGAATCCTCCAGATTCAGAAAATTTTAAGCCGTAAGTTTTTCTACGTCAAACCTTTAGATCCGCTTCGCATAGGTTTACGTTTGCCTGCAGTCGACCTTTAAATTCGTAACTTTTACATAATGAGATCCTCATAGATCCCAACACAAGCTTCCACACAAGCCATGATATTGTTTATTAATTTTGCCTGCAGTCGACCTTGATCCCAAAACTTCTTGCTTCTCCAAATGACTTTCACCATTTGATCAATGTACGTGGCATAGTCTTACAATTCTTATATTTATTACTATTACATGTTACATATATTAAACATTTATGTATTTAAACTACTTACGTAATGTATAGTGTTGTTAAACTAAACGAGCCTGGCTAGGCTCAGCTTGGCTCGTTAAGGCTTGAGTTCGGCTCGAGTTTGAGGTCTTAATGAGCCGAGCTGGAGCTCATTTAATTAAAGCTCGTTTGGCTAACGAGATGAGCTCTGCTCGATTTGATAAGACTCGTTAAATAGAATTTTATATAATTTTTTATAGTTCGGCTCGTTAAAACTCGAGATCGGCTCGAGCTCGAGGCCTGAACGAGCCGAGCTCGAGCTTGAACACCCTGTGCTCGAGCCCAGCTCGACTCGTTTACAGCTCTAGTCATGTATACATATAAAGAACTAATACATATATGAGAAAGATATATATATATATATATATATAA